TTTTTATTAAATTAAAAAAATACAATCTTAAACCTTTTGAAAATTTGGGTAAGTTTACATACCATAATAGTTTAGTTATATAATATAGACTTAGAGAGAGAGAGACCTTCTAAAAAACGTTAACATGTATTTCCGGCATGCAAAACCTTACATTAAAGAGAATAAATGAAGACTCGGCACACCGCTTCTGAAAGGTTGCCTACCCCTGGTCTAGAGAAAGTGAATAAGGAAGTGTTATTTACCCCTTCACATGACACAAGAACCTAATAAAATTAATAGGCAGGAGGTGTAAAACAAACAAAAGGAAGTAATTCTTCACACAACGCACAGCTATTGGGTGTGATGCAGCAAATATTGAGTGAAATTCTATGTATTTTGTTAAGCAAGTGGTCAGATTAGGTGATCACAGTGGTCCCTTCTGGCCTTAAAAATCTGTGAATTCTTCATGCTCTCTATATGCAGAACACTTATTGAAGCTAATGGATATTCTGCATGTTGGGTGACTGTGGCATTGGACCCTAATTCTATTATCTAGGAATTATAATTGATTAATAACAAAGCTATGTCTAGTATATTTATATAAAATGGGCAGGTTGTTTGAAAATATTTTGAGAACTGAACTTTCCATTTGAACATTTTTAAATTAATAATACTTAGCCTTCATATAATAATTTTCATCTACAAAAAGCACTATACAACTCCCGTGTAAGGTGGGTTCTGTATGTACACCTCTACCCCGATATAACGCTGTCCTTGGGAGCCAAAAAATCTTACCGCATTATAGATGAAACTGCGTTATATCAAACTTGCTTTGATCCGCCGGAGTGCGCAGCCCCGCCCCCCCCCGGAGTGCTGCTTTACCGCATTGTATCCGAATTCGTGTTATATCGGGTCACGTTATATCGGGGTAGAGGTGTATTATAATTAAGGATATGATTTTTCCATGGTGGTCATGGATTGCTCTTTCTGTTCTCACCATGAAGTTCTAAATAGCCATGGTGGACAACATAATAACTACTCTGAAGTCCTAGATGGTTATAGTTTTGTTACAGTATTATTGTCCACTAAACCAGGCTGCTTCTCATAGCAAACTGTATTTTTAATGCATGTATACTGGTCAATTTGCCAAAATGTGTCATCTGCTTTTCTTCTCCCTCCACAGGAGATATTTTAGACCTACAAGTCTATTATCCCTGGGAATTCCTTTCCAGTTCTCCATGTAGAACAGTTGTGTTCCCATTAATTACATCTGGCATTACCTACTGGATGATCAAGTCTTTGCAACGGCTGGGCATGTGGTCAAATGGCATCAACAGCTACACCCTTCTTGTGTCACCTCGCCTTCTCCTCACCACCTTTTCTTTCATACTTGACTATAGCGTGTATCGGCTAGCTCCTTTCTGGGGTGCGGATCGGTGGAACGCCCTGGTTCTGCTTGCTGGGTCCTATGTCACACTAGTATTTTACACGAGAACATTTACTAACACACTTGAAGGACTTCTGTTTGCCCTGCTGATGGTACTAGTATCTCCAAAAGCAGTTGGTTATGGAACAGACATCAGCCAGGCGAAACCTACCAGTAGCAGTCTCATAGGGATTATAACAGTTGCTGGGTTTTTCAACAGGCCAACTTTTCTGGCATTTGCTTTAATGCCACTGCTTTACTGGGCAGTTTTAAATGCCACTTCTCAGCACAGCATTAAAACTATTGCAAACCACCTCTTGAAGCTTGTTTCAAGCACAGCTTTCACTGCCATCATCTTCACAGCAGCTGACACATTATATTTTACCTCCATTGGATCAGAGATTAGCCTCTACAGCATTAAAAAGAATGGCCTGTTAAGCACCATAGCTCAAATCAATCAGAATGTAATAGTGACCCCTTTTAATTTTCTCCGCTATAATCTTAATCCCCATAATCTTGCACAGCATGGGATTCACCCAAGATTAACTCATTTTGCAGTCAATGGGATAATGCTCTTTGGGATCCTGCACATTCTGGCTATCAGTGTTGGTTTGAAAATGCTGAAAATAAACATCCATCAATTATCATGGATCAGACTACATAATCATAGGCCACCTACAATGTTGGTGCTTGCCAAGGGCAATCCAACATTATTATTATTCTATTTTGTTCCTTTGGCATTCCTTTCCCTATTCAACCACCAAGAACCTCGATTCCTCATTCCTCTTATTTTACCACTAGTCCTATTGATCACACCGCAGAATAGAACCCTGAAGTGGAAACCCATCATTATTATTTTCAATGTTCTTGGTGCCCTTTTGTTTGGGTGCTTACACCAGGGAGGGCTGATCCCATGCCTGTCTCATTTAGAACAGCTCATACATTCTACAGAGTCCCTGAACCATCCAGCACACTATACTCTGCTCTTTGCTCACACCTATATGCCTCCCAGGTTTCTGCTCAGTATCAATAAGAGAGACCCACTAGTAGAAATAATTGATATGGCTGGAACTGAACAAAACACCCTCTGCCAAACTCTGGGACAATTAGCAAACAACATTGCCTGTGGGACTAGAGAGACTGATAAAGAAAGAACTTGTCATTTTTTTGTTATAACCCCCGGTACAGTCAGAACAACAATACAAAAATGTGGGGTTCTGTTCAAGAATGAGACATTAATATTTCCACACTTGACAATGGAAGATCCACCACAAATATCCTTTCTATTCAGTGAAAAATGGAGAAGTCAGTTAGGACTATACATCCTTCAGATAGACAGAAATGAACAGAGCATTTAGTTATTAGAGGATTTATGTTTCACTTTTTAATTTTATTTAGTTCTGGTGAAAGTTGCTCGATCAACAGTCCTGGAGATTGATGTTCTCTCCCTTTATTCACAGACACAAGTACAGCACAAGCAGTGGGAGTGCAAACTTCCCCATATTATCCCCCCAATTACCCTCAGCAGTGTTCCTCAGCCCTATTCTGGATGGATGCTATCTAAGTGTGAGGTCGTTCGATCTCCAGCATTGTTTTTACACCAGGATAATTTTCCTGCTGGGAGAGGACAAAATCAGAGAAAAAAGGCTGAAGTTCTTTCTCTCCACAAAACTTTCCAGATGGTTTTGGGTCAGCTCTTCTTGTGTCAAGTATATTGTTTTGTTTTGTTTTTTTTCTTTTATTATATCTCTTTAGATTATACTTCTTATTTATATGCATTAATGCTGCTGTTAAGCATTCAGGGCCTCCTCCCAGTAGTTACAGTAGGCTCCAGTCATGATATAGAATTCATTTTTATGAGCACCTCTGTTACAGGATGGTGCATGATCAGATATATCCTCTCAAGGGATTGTATCATGTCCTTGAAAAGGGAGTGGGATTAGTTTCATTGTCTAGTAACGTCTAATGTTTTATCACTAGCAAGTCAGATCCTAGGAATGGAAGCCCCAGGTTCAATCCCCAAACCAGCCACTGCTTAGTCTTACTGTTCATTTATCTTTTCCTGCTACAAGGCCATTTATTTGTGGAAACAGTATATTTTAAATTGCCTTTCTATTAGGAGTGGATCTGAACCTGAACCCATACATCCCTGAACTACAGCGAGGGGAATTGCAGAAGTTGAACCAAGATCTGGACAGAAATTTCACAGGTGACCTCCTTTGGATATAGGAGTTTG